GTTTTTTCATTGCAAACAGACCTGGAGTTGTGTTTTGTTTCATTCATACTTGTTTAACACACAAACCCTGCGTTTATAGGCGTAGTTTTTCTCTCAAAACACTGGAAAACACTCCACTTTGTGATTTGTGATGTCATGTGGTAAAACATCAAGTGCTTCACTGTGTTTTTAAACTCCATACACCTTCACTAGAATCATTTGGATAATTTCAGACCTGGGTTTGCCAATCTCTACTGAACTAAAGGTAAAACGTAGCTGTTAAAGGGACAGTCCAGAGGTTTGGATCTCATTTCCTAGTGAGCCAGAGTGCTGGAGACGTGTGGAGACACTTTTTTAAATTTTCCATCCAGTCCTTATATTTGCAGAGGTCACTGGTGCTAGGCTAGTGCATGTCAACGGCCATAGTTATCCTGCCACTAAAAACAGTCTAAACCCACTCCACACAAAACACCGAAAGCAAATCTATTATTATGCCAAACTGTCCATGAAAATGTCTGTGTTGATAGAATAATTGTAGAAGTAAAAACAACCTTACATTTGAAGGATTTATGTCTGAGCAGCTGCAGCGAGTTATTCTTCCTGATAGAAAGTTTGGCAGCGGCGAACTGATATCACCTAGCACCTATCTTACCGGCAAAGTAAAATTCCGCTGCTGCTGAGAAAATAGTCCCTCAACATGCGAAAATTCATACGAGAAAACACGTCAGCCATTTTGGTAGGCAAAAAGCATCCGTATCAACAAGTCAACATCAACATCATCAGCGAGTTTTAACTTTTCAAAGTAACGTTTTTGATTCTCAACATTCAGTGAGTTATAGTAAGATGATGAAGTCATGTCAAAACAATTAAATGCAAAACCTACTTCAAAATAAGACGAGTTATCTCATGACAGACATATGCAACGCAACTGTCAACACAAACGAGCGGCCCCACTGACTTTTTGCCAACCAGGCACCACGCATGTGCGGAAAAGCTGTTTCTCCTTTTCTCGTATGCGATGCAAGGTTAGTTTTATTTCAAACATTATTCTATCGAGACAGACATTTACATGGACAGTCTGGTGTAATAATAGATTTGCTTCGGGTGTTTTGTGGAGTGGGTAAGACTGTTTTTAGTGGCAGGATAACTATGGCCATTGACATGCACTAGCCTAGCACCAGCGACCTCTGCAAATACAAGAACTGGATGGAATATTTAAAAAAGTGTCTCCACATGTCTCCAACACTCAGGCTCACTAAGAAATTAGGTCCTATGTCCAAAATTCCAGACTGTCCCTTTAACTTGAAAACTAAAAACTACATGACATAAGATGACATGACACTGGAGATGTAGACAGACTAATAAAGCAGGATTATTTAAATGTGTAAATTAAACAAAACACAAGTCCAGGTCTGTTTTTGAGGAGGTAATAACATTCTCACATGGCTTGAAGCTCACAAGAGTCAATTTGGTGTAATATAGGACCTTTAAAAGTGCTGCAATGTCAGAAACTTCCAGCTGAGCTATTTTTCATCCTTATAATCTGTCCATATGGCTTCACTTTGCGCAGAGCTACAATTTATAAACTTTTTGCACTTACGCCTCAGACTCGTACATTTTTCTGCCTGATTTTCCTGTCAGACAAGTTGTGAAAGCACAATTGGACACAGCGGACCAATCTCCCAAAGGCCGTGCTCCAAAGTTTTTTTTTCCCCATGTATTTGAGCTAAATTTGTCCTGCCCCAGTTCAGATTTATTGTATAAGCAGCTCTTGAGGTCAAAATAAGTCAGGTGTGTATAGTCTTCATCTAAATATAAAGAACACACGTTAGCATACTAGTTGTTCTTATCTTTCCCATGAATAATAAAGATGTATTGAGTGCATAAGGTAATTCAATAGCAAGGACCACACCAACAATGGAATACGTTAAAGGTATTTATTGACGATGGATAGATGTGATGGCCAGGAGGAGACGCAGGAGGGGGTCTCGGTCTCAGGTGGTCAGCCCGGCCGATTCCTTTGTAGATGATGTCTTCAGGCAGAAGGATGAACAAGTAACACGGGGTGGGAGGGAGGATTGTTGAGAGAGTGTTGTCGGGATAGGCATGTATAAATAGGGCTTCTTTTTTTCGCACTTAAAATCCTTTAATTTTCTCAAAAAACAACAGTGCGCCTTATAATCCGGTGCGCCTTATGTATTAATTCTGGTTGTGCTTACTGACCTCGAATCGATTTTATGTAGTACACGGCACTCAAAAATCTGTCAGAATGTTTTTAGTACGACTTTGGTAAGCTACGAAGCCGCACTACTTGATGGATTGTCTGCGCATTATAGCTACCCTTGTCAGGAGCCTCACAGAGTAAAGGGCGAAGTATAGTTCTATGTCGGCATTTATGACACCAATTAATTGCTACAGAGAATATATGACCATTCATATATATACGGTCTATGTGTATGACCTGCAAACTTAGTGCAACAGAAGCTGACTGTATCAGTGCACAAGGAGCGAGCTATTTTTTTCAGTGCTTATAGTTTATGGAAATAAGCCATGTGGTTTTAAGATTTGTTTCTGTAAAACGTAAACAAATGTGCGTAAAACTGCATGAAACACATTATTATTCATTGTATATTTGAGTACTCCTCAAGTCCTCCAAGACAAGGAGGCAACCCGGGCAAATTACGCCATGATCTGCCAATGGATCATGGACGCCTGGGCTAAGGGATCAGTGTCAAGTGTCGTCCGTTTGTTTCGCTTAATGCGGCTCATAATCTGGTGTGCCTTATGGTCCGAAAAATATGGTAATTAAAGGTGTGGTTGAGCTGAGCTGTGGTTGGCTGGAGAGGAGCAGGAGGAGGCTGAGGCCTGGTCCTGCTCCAGAATCTCAGTCAATCATATTAACTCCACATGACAAAGACAGTAAAAAGAGACAGTAAAAAAAAAAAAAAATCAAGTGTAGTGCCTTTAAAGTGCGACCAGACACTTACACTCTCCCCACAACCACACAGGACATCAGTAGCTCAATTGGTGTTGAGTTTTTGTCCATTGATCCGAAGGTTTCCAGTTCAAATCCCGCTCTCGACATAAACGTCATTGCTTCACACAGGTTGGCGGTGAGATTCCAGCTCCCCACAAATGAATGCTGTTGGATGTTGGACTTTTAATTGGGGCTCCAACTGTCTGTCCATCACACCAATAAGTAAATAGAAAAACATGAAAACCTGTCCATTGGTAGGGTGTTTGTCCACTGATGCGAAGATCGGTAGTTCGAATCCCGCTCTCGACGCAAACATCATTGGTGGAGCGGTCAGTTAAATGCTGTTGTTGTGTCCTTGGGCAAGACACTTAACCCTCCTTGCTCCCAGTGTCTGCGTACACTGGTGTATGAATGTGTGTGTGAATGGATGAAGTGTAAAGTGCCTTGAAGGTAGAAAAGCGTTAAATAGAAATGAGTGACCTTTTACCATTTTCCACAAGAACATTTCAAATAGAGCTGCCAAACTGGACATTACCTGGGCCGGCCGCTTCTCATTTCTCTTTCCTCGCTTCCTTCTCTTTGATTCCTTTCCTCGATCCTCCATTTTCAGCTGTCAATCAAATGTGGTGTCTCAAAGAAAACCACGGAAGGAAGGAGTAAACCTGAGGGAGGCTTCGGGAGCAGACTTCAGATGAAAGAATCAAGCTTTATTGATGTCAGTGAGGAGTTTATATCCTCTCTCCTCGCTTTGTCTCCTCTCTGGGCGGGACTTCCTCACCCATTTCCTGCAGAATTGAGGAGAGGAATCAAGGACAAGGAGGCGAGGAAAGAGAAATGAGACGCAGCCCTCAAGAACTAAAGGGGAGAGTGAGGTAGTCTGACTCATCAGTCGGTTTCACTTTGTGGAAACCGTCTGACCTCGCTGCATTAGGATTCGTTCACGGTCTACAACTTCCGGGGTTCTTGTAAACCGTCTAGTGCAAGGGTGTCCAAAATTTTTTTCATCAAGGGCCACATATCTAAACACAGACGAAGCAGAGGGCTGATCTAGGGCCGTAGACTGGTGCTCAGTACAGTGAATAATTGAAATATGTGCATGTTTAACACATTTTGAATGAGCCATCAGTCTTTATTCATGCTAAAATCCTTAAAACCACAAAGTAATTATTAAATATTAGCTCTCTCAAGGTAGATTTAAAAAAAAAAACTTGGAGTAAAAAGGTTAAATTTTTCATTGATGCAGGGTATTTTGGGCCAATTCACCTGGAAGCCTGAGGGCCAAGAAAAATTTGTCTGAGGGCCTACGGGCCATAGTTTGGACATGCCTGGTCTAGTATATTCTGATTCCTGACCTAGTCGCTGGAAAGAAATGAAATTGAGCAGAGGCACTAGGTGACACCAGCCTGACTAAGAGTGAGGGCCCGAGAAGGGGAATAGGGAACGGTGTGATTGGTCTAACAGGTATTAACACTTTAAACCCTGCCCCTGCAGCCAGGCCTTTGTATCAGAAACACCAGGCTGTGATCAGGGCAGTCATGTGTGATGTCATGTAGTACTTGAAATTGCAGATGACAATGAAAGCAGCACACTTAGATTTAGGCATTTTTGAGCAGAAAGCAGCTGATTTACCTTTTTTTGTATTGAAGTTGATAATTGATGAATGTATTTAGTTTTTATTTTCAACATAAAATAATAGAACTTTCTTTTATTCTTGTTCTGATACAACTAAGATCATTCTAAAACTATTTAAGAAAGGTTCATTTCTGTCCTGTGAATGTGACTTTTTTAGTATTAATACCTGCTCAGATGAGGATTTAGTTTCAATACTAGTTTTAGCATTGATTAGTATTTTTGATTTTTTGACAACCTTCTTAATTATATCTAAATTGAGACTGAAACACAGCATACACTTTGATTTTTTTTAGTTTTTAGCAGAAAGCAGCTATTTTACCTAATTTGCACTCGAGTTGCTGACTGATTGATAGAATTGATTTAGTGTTTAGTTCTACTTTTCTCAATTTGTTGTTGTTTTTTTTTTTCTCAGGAACTCCAAAAAGGAACTGAATGACATCCGTTTTGAGTTCACGCCGGGGCGAGGTAAGCGCGTGTGTCCCTGAATGATCTGATTATATGTTTTGTTTCGTGATATGGTCCGGCTCTTTTGCATGTAATGGGTAGTGACATGGAGAGTATCTGATCCAGTATCTTAACACAATTACAGGCTAAGTGAACACAGCCAGCCAATATCTGCCATGTTTTTCCCCCCTCAGACACAGCAGAGGGCGTTTCACAGGAGCTGGTGTCTGCAGGCCTGGTCAATGGGCAAGACGTGTTAGTAGGTGAGTACTGTAAAAGAAAAAAAATACCAAAACGTTCAGTTAATTTGAGTGAAATTTCATATTAGTTGTTAGACATTAGTGTTATTTTTGTTTAAAGTGTTATTTTTATAGGTCCTCTTTGGCGCTAATTTGACTCTTGTGAGCTTTAAACCATGTTATAATATTGTTATCTCATCAAAAACAGACCTGGAGTTGTATTTTGTCTCATTCAGACTTGTTTGAATAACCTTTATTATTGGGATGTAACAATAACCAAAATATCCTGATATCGTATCGTCAAAATGTTTTTGTTTTGTTAGCCTCCACAAAACATCGCAATAAATATCGTACCATGAGATGTTATATCGTGAAAATATCGTACTGAGAGATTTGGATATTGTTACATCCCTAATCATGAGCCTCCCCACCATATTGTGAGCTTTCCCATTATATCGCAATAAATATCGTATTGTGAGGTTCAAACCGTGACTATATCGTATCGTGAGACGTGGATATTGTTACACCCCTACTTTATTATTATTCTGTCTATATTTCCAAAGCTCAAAATGCTCTGTTCCACCTTGTAATGTCATGAAGTAGAAGATTTCAAGCCACCTTTTACCTTTAGTTCAGCAAAGATTGGCAATTCCAGGACTGAAATCACCCAAATGATTCTAGTGAAGCTGTATGGAGTTTAAAAACACAGTGGAGCACTTCCAGTATTACACATTGACAGATAAGTTTAATGCCATTTAAAGTGCCTGATTTAAACTATAAAGGTAAAAAAAAACATTGACAACAAGCAACAAGCATCAAAGCTGCTGACATGCTTAGAGGTGATCTTTCAAGTACTGAAATAATCAATAAATCACTTCAGCGCTGATGAAAGATTTAAAACGGGAGCCTCTCAGATTACAGCTGCTGACACACATTAGTGGAAGCTAAAACCCGACTCACTTAATATGCAACACTATTGAGAAGTCCATTAAAGTAACAAAACACAACTCCAGGTATGTTTTAGAGAGGGTTGTGTAATTAATAAATTAATTAATTAATAAAGCTAGAGATTCAGTCATTTATAATTGCCAGTGATCAGCTTTAATGGAGAGGCCCTCAGCCAATCACTCTAAAAATAAGTGGTTTGGAGCTGAGTTTAGACTGAAGAGGAAGAAATTTGACGTGATTTCTGTTAAATTGCAATGATTAAAAGTCTATAATTTATGTTTTGGAAATTAATTTTGAAATTTGACACATCAATCAAGACCAATATGAAAAAGATTATTGTGACCTTTTTTTTTTTTTTTTTTTCATATAAATCAGCAATAGTTTCAGATGATTGAATGATGAGCAACCGTTCTATAGTTATACGTAGGGATCAGTGACAATTTTTCAGAAATGAATAAGGAATTTCAACAAAGTGATCCAACAAGTAGTTCAAGTTGTTCAGATTTCACTTATTTATTACTAGTTTTATATATTTATGTTTTTGACCACAAGGTATGTTTTAGAACCAACAGGGAAACATTAAATATACATACTGTACATAAAATTCTTAATTATTAGGGCTGTAACGGTACACAGAAAGCACAGTTCAGTATGTACCTTGGTTTTGAGGTCATGGTTCGGTTCATTTTTGGTACAGTTTGGGAACAAAATGCAGAACCATTTGCTTATTGTTTATTTGTGTTTTTATTAAACCAACAATTTGTTTTAACATGATGCAAACAGGAAAATAAAATAAATGCAAAGTGCCGCTTGGTAATACTAATAAGTTAAATCAAATATTTTCAAACAAGCCACAAATGTATAAAATATTGTATTAAAAAAATCCTTGTAAACAGTAAACAAAACTTTTCGAACATTAAAGTGCAGTACTAGCATGAAGTTTTCCCTGCCGTCGAAAGGCAAAAGTGAGGACAAGGGCGCGACGACCATAGTTTTGCGAGGATTCACGAGGTTCGAAGGGACGTAGTCAAGGTGTGGAGCAATTGTTATCAAGGTGGTCGCCCCAACTATAAAGCGCTGCGGGAATTAAAGAGCTGAGTCTTTTGTGCAGCTGCAAATGTAGTGGTGGAATGTAAACACACACAAATTGCGCAAATTCACTCGCCCACAGCCCTGCACTGAACCGAACTTCCCGTACACAAATTCATGTACTGTTACACCCCTAATTAATATATAAATACATATATAAGTAGTTTTTAATAATGTATTTTTCTTGATCACTGAAGTCTAAAACCTCTAATAGGACATAGTCATATTGAATGCAGTTTACCAGTACAGTACGCCCTCCCCCTCACCTCCCTGTGACCCCTGACCCCTCCCTCATCCCTTCCTCACCTCTCGCCCCTCTCCGTTGTTTGTGGAAAACAGACTCCTGATGTGTGACTGACGTTATGTTTTCGTTCCTTCTCCAGTTGCTTCTAACCTTCAGAGGATTGTGGACGACCCGGCTACCTACAGAGTGTTGACCTTTAAACTGGTGAGTACCTGGCTGCTGACAGAGAGTGCCCCCTGGTGGAACTCCGGGGTGACAATGTCGTGCCGTAAACGGCGGTGGTGAGAGGTGAGGTGAGGAATGAGAGAGGAGGACTTGTTTAAAGCCGTGGAGACAGACAGGAGCTTAGGCACGAGCACGCAACCACTGCCACTGCGGCCGCGACGACAGAGTTATTCTAGGATGTCATGTACGTAAAGAGAATGTGTGTGTTTGTGTGACAGGTTAGACTACACAGTTCATTAAAAGGTGCACTATGTAACTTTTTGGTATGGGGTTCGTCACCTGCTTGTTTCTATGGATATGTCATTTCTCTGTCTTGAATGTTCCACAGCTCTACCTTACATTTATTGAACTATAGGTGGTTTTATAGCTCAAAAATACGTAGAAAAATAAGTATTCTGACTGTGAGAGGGGTCGCCTTTCCACAGATCTGACCTGTAACCTGATCTGGTTTGGTCTCCATGAAGATAGAAAGGTTTAATAGTAGTAGTAGTCTTTATTCTGTCATTTTGCAGCACTACAAAACAAAACAAAGTACTTATAAAGCCAAATCCTTTTAAACAATGACAGAATTCCAAGAAAGAAAAGCAGAGTATGAACAGCAATTTGCATTTACAATTTCACTTACTGACTAGAGACAACATATATAATAAAACAAACAAAACTTAATGCATAATTCTTTGAAAATATAACGCTTTATACTCTTTTTCTAAAGGCTTCTACAGTGTTAGACTTTTTTAAAATCATCACTCCTCCCGTCTAACAGAAATACAATTCCTTTTCCTATCTTCATTTTTTAAAGATGCCAGTTTTGTTTTTGTTGTTATGGTCGTACACACTAATAATAATGATAAAGAAGGCACAAAATTTATCGTTTATGATCGTATCTGAATAAAAGTTAACGTTAAAGAAAAGCATGTGTTTAGTTAATAGTCGTGATTTACTTGTGAAGACAATGGATCTAATCTTCTGGGTATTTCTGTAATATTTAATGCCATACTGTGAAACATTCCAGACAAAGCCATAACTTCCCCATGGACAAAAGTATTTGACAGGCCCTCCACTAGAAACGTTACTCAGTGCACCATTAAGATAATTATATTTAAGATTTAAGCACACGCGTTTTCCCAATTGGACAGGTTTTTTTTAGGGTTTGAAATGATTCTTCTTGGATTGAAATCATAATATCACCCTAGGGCAGTGCTTCTCGATTATTTTCTGTCACGCCCCACCTAGGAAGAAGAAAAACATGTTGCGCCACCCCCACTCCACAGAGCCACGACCAAACGTGGACAAATCACATTCTTGTCTTCAGTCGCCTACATACGAGAGCAAACGTTTTAGTTGCGTCTCCAAAGCGACTCCCACGCAGCATGTGTCCTCACCTGCGTTCCTGTGTCCTCCTCGTCTTTAAAGATGATGTTCGTGTTATTGTTCGTTTTTGGTACGCCACCTTATATCATGTGAACAGAGCTTGCTGGTTTACTTTAGTCGCATTCACAAAGCGGGATGATTGTTGGGAATATTCGGTATGGTTTCGCTGCAAAAACTCAAGCGTCTTATCAGCGCGATTGGGGTGTAATGTCTTTAAAGGTTGTATGGAGGATTTTTTTTTTGTTTCAAATTGTCAATGAAAGTTTAAAATACCATTACAGAGACGCAGCAGCCTTGTAATTATGATGACCAAAAAAAAAAAGAACCAAAATCTATCAACTGTGAACATAGCGAGGCCAGATAAACATCAACCAATAGAAAACAAGGCTACCTCATTTTCTATTGGCTGTTAGGTTGTCAATCAAACTCCCTACGTTTCTAGTGTAACTGACTCAAGGCACGCTGGGATTACGTGGTTTATGCAGCGGTTCTTGGAGGCTTTTTCAACCTGTAGCTTCCTCGCAATTCGCACAAAGTTTGTTGCGATGGCGGACGAGAACCCATGACTACTTTGTCGTAAAAGAAAGTCGGTTTTTAAGGTCGCTGAAAGAAGAAGAGAACGAGAAAAGGAGTGAAGCCAAACTGAGGTGATTCTTGGAGATTCCTTCCAGCGATGGCGCGACTGAAGCAGACGAAGGGTCTAAAAACTGACACGTCGGTCGCTAAATTATTTCTAGACTGGTCACTTCAACAGTCATTCTGAATGCGTGATTTCTAAAGTAAGGAGACGGGAGGAGATGTTTCTGCTGAGGGAACTGTGGAGGAAGAAGGTGGTGTCACGCATGCACAACATTTGAAAAAGGACTGTCGCTGTATTTCTCTTCCTTTAAAAAAATCCTCTATACAACCTTTAAGCAACGCCGTAATTTATTTGTCTTCATGATGTCCACTGCCAACATTTTTAGACACAATAAACAAAGCGGTCTTTCCTCGTTTCCCACCGTAGTCACAGTGAAGCAGACGCTTTACATACAGTTTAGTTTATTCTCTGCACTTCATATTTCCTGCTCTGTGCTGTGTGTGTGTTTGCTCGTTGAAAAAACCCGACACTATAGCGCTAAGACTCCCTGTGCACACTCTGACAATGAGAGCGTCACTGCCAACTACTGTAGTGGATGTGCAATTACACTTTATTCTCTTACGGGAAAAAAAAAAGCATTTCATGGCTGTTACAAAAGCAAAACTCCCCTAATGTAAACAGAAATTATTATAAGAAAACACCTTTATTTTATTTCTGTAAAGTAACAAAGATTAGAAAAGTGATTCAGTCATCCAAAAAGCGGGAACCAATTAAGTTCATTTCTTAACATTTTACTACATCAGCAGTTAATTAACCAATGTTTGAGAGGTACTTTCAGCTTTTGACATTAGCCCTGTTTACACGTCAGCAACATCAGTATAACGAAGAGTAACAGCAGTGCAGGTTTTTAATTTTCATCACACGCAGGGAACAGCCGTGTTGGATTTTTTACTTGGGCTCTGAAGCGTTCTCCGACTTTCTGAGTAGAAATTCCGAGCGCACGAGGCGTTTGAGTTGTCAGGCACAAGTTGGAACATGGAACTATCCCATCACACTAATAATTAATTAGAAAAACATGAAAACCTGTCACTCGGTTGGGTGTTTGTCCACTGAAAGAGCTTTGAGTGCCCTGAAGATGGAAAAAAATGACCACGTACACCACTTACCATATTAAAATCACAGCATAAGCACAGTCGCACATGTTTGGAGCCCACACAGACATATTTTTCAAAGACATATTTATCGTGGATTGCAGCAAACCAATATTGACAATGACTTGCTATTCTCGGTTGAGGAAATTCGATCTCTTGGTTGTTGTTTCCAGTTGAGTGAGTAGATTATTCACTTCAGTTAATATTGACAGCATCATACTTAGACTGCGCTACAGAACATTAGCTGAGACTGTAAGCACAAACGCTGGATAAAAACATGTCTTTAGATTTATGTTTTTGTTTGTCAAATATGTAGTCTTTATTACATTTATGAATACTCTCTTACAAAGGCGTAGGTTTGCATAGGGACGGTGGGGACATGTCACAACCAGTATTTGGGGAAGACAAAACAGTCCCGACCAATATTTGCCATTTTATTTTAATAAACAAAAATATAAATTAATTCTGATATTTTTCCAAATTCAGTAGTATTAAATTAACATGTTTTAGTTCATATTTTGTTTATTAGATGTTGTGAGATGTATACATGCATCACGAATTTCGGACTTCCGGTCATCACGCAATGCAATGGAAGTGTTTGATTTCCCAGTGGGATGTGTCTATTGTCAGTCAAAGGTTTCCTTTTTCGTTCTTCCTGTGTATCAATACTGCCCATCGCCTTCGCCTTTCACTATGTTTCTATTCTGTCGGGAAGGGAAACAGTTTGAACAGAGGTTTGCAGTCACATAGATCTGATTCCCGTTTGCAGTTATGGAGTTCACAAACTTCCAAAACCCGTATTCCTCTGTTAGGACATCCAACAACCACACAATTACGATGTCCGAATCCCATAACTAAAATATGACAATATCAGAAGGAGAAACAAAAGCGATATGGTTCATAAGACTTGAAAAGATCGGCTTTGACAATAGATGCATCCCACTGTGAAGTGAAACATTGCAGTTTGATGCTCACTTTTTTGGAAAATCCTTCCCAGTATGCATTGCGCGATGACCGGAAGTCCAAAATTTGTGATGCATGTATTCAGTGATATGACGACAGGGTTACCAGGGAGTGACAGGGAGTGATGTCATTAGTGGAGCCAGGAGCCTGAACTGGGGAAACAACAGAACAGGGCCAGCGCCTGAAGATGTCAGCTTGAGCAGGCGTGAGTGAAAACACTGCGCACCAAATTTTGAAAAACTTTTCAAAAGGAACTTACTTGGCTTCATCTTCAATTAAACTTGCCTTATAATGAGTCGCCGCGGAAAAAGAGCGACTATCACCAAAAGTGCACCTCGTAAACTGAGCCCTACTCATGCGCTGTGAGCAGCCCGACTCTACTGACAATATTCCATGAAAAAATGTCTGGACATTACTTCACAAATATCTCATCACCAACAAGCAAAAGGAAATCTGCTACAAACTTCTACATCGCTGTTATCCGCTAGAGAATCATCTTGGACACAAACTGAAATGGACACAAACACAAAAACACGTTTTGCGAACTGAAAAATGAAACCACCTCTCACTTATTTTGGACCTGCCCAGACTGTGTGTTTTTGGAAATAATTCATAAAACATATACACAACTTCTTATCTTATTTTACCCTTTCTTATAAAGATATGAAAAGTAAACAATATTATATAATTAATCTGTTAATCAAGTAACCTATCAGCTGGTTTCATGGCACCAAAACTGAGACCAAAACCTTCACCCTTGGTCCTATATTACACAAACTTGGCCTCAGCTTTAAGCCATGTTATAATCCTGTTAACTCATCAAAAACATAGCTGGAGTTGTGTTTTGTTTCATTCACACATTTCAGTAATCCTTTATTATTAGTTTTTCTACAACACCAAGGCTCAAAATGCTC